ACTTTTGAGGGTCGCGCCGGTTGTTGTACCTAGTTTCTTTTTCCCTCTCTTTTTCTTCTTTCTCTTCTTTTGATTTTGTATCCAATTTTGGCTTTTACCTCCATTTTTTGGATGGAGGTTGCCGTGCGTATATAGCTGTGTACTATACCCTGCAAAATCTCTCTTTCGAGTCTTTTTGTGAACATTTTTGAGTGCGCTACTCGTCATCGCGCGACGTTACTGTTTTTTGACTGAGTGAAGCCAAAGAATGCCAAAGATTTCCAAACTCCACCGTCCTCAAGGAGTCACCCCTTTCTTTGCGGAAAGATGGCGCCGAGTCAGCTCCACCACGAAACAACCGATGAAGAATCACAAACCTCAAAACGTTCATGAAATGATAGGAAAGCTGAAAGGGCAATGAATGAATGATCTAGACGAGAATCTAAACAGCACTTTAGCGCAGAGGAAGCGCGTTGGGCTCATAGGGCTCTCTCCAACGAGCCCGCGATACCCAAAGGCCCCAGGATCGAAACCTGGAAGTGCTAATAAATAATGTGCGGTGACATGCTACAGCGGTTTTTGTTCTTTTGTTGACCAACAATCTATTTTTCCCGAGAATGGCGGCCACACACTCAAGTTTCCATCATACCGGAGAATGAACACACCCGAACTGACTGGTTGCGATTTCTATTTTACATCACTGACGGTCGCGGCCGCAAGAGGGTATCACGTCTTCACAAGACACATGTCACGACCGTTCGTTCATCTTGCTCCCATCAAGTCCTTAGATGTTATCGAAATCCTCAGGTATACCAAACTGTTCAGAAAACTGTTGCGAAGTGATGTTGAAATTTCGCTGACAATAGGATTGAAGGGAGAAGATGTTGTCTGGGAGGCAGTGCTTTGAGTATTTCTCAACAAACGATGACCAAAGAGTCGACCGACCCCGACCGGACACGTCGCGTACCTGTCCATCTGTTCGCAGCATCTCTGGCGATTTGCGTTGCCTTTTCTGTAATTCGCCGAGGACAAATTTGGTCAATATCGGGGTTAAGAATCCACTGGGCCGTTGCGCCGTACCTTTTGCTTCAAGCAACGCAGGATCACAATCTCGGAACCGTTCCAACTCGGCCAACTGGGACTTGCGAAGTGCCTCTGCTTCCGCTAGTCTTTCCAGCATCACGGTTCTCTCATCCTGTAGCACGCGACATAAGACTGAACTCCCGAAGCGGTGGGACATTGGCAAGAAGCTTACCGAGTCCTCTCGCCCCTCTGTAGCCTTTTCAATCGATCGTTGCATCTCATCACGTCGTTCCTGCTCCCATCAACATAGTCTGAGACATGACTCCTGTTAAAGGACACTATATCCTGATACTTGACTAACCTTCAGCTTCACCAACTCATCCTCAAGCTCGTCCAACTTTCGTTTTCTCTATAGAAGGTTCAGAATAACTAAAACTAGTGTTGGATGCAAAGCGCCAGGCACGTACCGTCTGTGCCGCAGTGCTAGGGAAGCTCCAATAGTAATTCGACGTACCAATCTTCTCCAGTGTAACGAGATTATCGGACTATTGCACGATCCCTTGTCAGGTCCCTCCCTTACGCATCCTGATCAGTTCCAGAAGCTACCCACCACAAGGGAATCCAACACCTCCTTCACACTCTGTTGAATAACTCCTTTCTGCTTTGGTGCCATCTTCTCCAGATCCTAGAGCGCCAAATGGCGACTTTGAGAAGATCCGCAAAAGAAGAAACGCGCTCTCCTGAGGCTGACCTTCAACTGCCAAAAGTCTTTCTGCACGGCGATTTTTGGAAAGTTTGCACATCAATAAAATCAATGAGTTAACGGCATGAGGGAAAGAAATTTGATTCTAAAGACCCCACCGTCTCATAAAATATTTCAGCTATGCGCTTCCGCTTCTCCTCGAAGGACAATGGTTTCGCTCGTTTGCTCTAGAAAAGGGACGGCGCGTGGTACGGTTAGAGTAAGCCGCGACTCTACATCAGACTAAGAAAGCGACGTACCATGGCTGCAACAAGAAGGTAGTTACTTTAGTTTCAAAGGGCGCGATGGAAAGTAAGATGATGCAAAACATTCCCGGCGACGGAAATGTGTGGGAAAGCACTTAATCCCGAAATGGACAAATTGGAATGTTTAGTCAGCGATCATCATCAAGCAGCACGTCGGATGAATTTCAAACCATCTCTTTCCAGTCTTTCATTTCAAACCCTCTCTTTCCAGTCTTTCCCTTTGGTTTCCGTGCGGCCTGTAAGAACATAAAGAGGGAGCCTGTTTTCGTACACCCCTTTCACCAACCCCGCTTTTGTTCATAATTCTATGTTCTTCAAGTCCCTACGACCCGCAAAAAATTCAATTACACTCAGATCTTTTGTTACGATGTCATCTGGATCTCAACCCATCACACTGTACACGGCGGGTCGGTGCTCTATGCATTCTTTTTTTTAATGAAAAACCAACCAGAGACCTCAATATCAAATATGTATCACCAGGAACTCCCAATGGCCGTAAAGTCAGTATTGTATTGGAAGAATTGGGAATCCCGTACAAGGTGCCTTGCCCCCCATCAGCTGATCACTATGCAACCTCGTTGCGAAAGTGGCTTACCTAGCTCTTATTCCTAAATGCAAAGAGCCGAGTGTTTGACATCTCCACCAACGTGCAAAAAGAAGAATGGTTCTTGAAGATTAATCCCAACGGTCGCATTCCTGCCATCGTCGATCACAGCAGGTGACGCGTTTAATACATTTCGCTTGCTCGGGGAAAATGATTTACCAATTGGAGTTGCACTACATAGAGGCGACTTTCCGGTCTTTGAGAGTGGCGCCATTCTCCTGTACCTCGCAGAACACTACGACCCGGAGCACAAATTGTTTCCCAAGGACGCCAATGCCCGAAGCGAAGCAATTCAGTGGTTGATGTTCCAAATGGCTGGAGTGGGGCCGGTGAGTTACTTTCACCATGTTTATGGACGGCTATCTGCCGATTACACTGGAACCAATTCCAAATACACCTGAAACTTTTGTAGATGCAAGGTCAAGCCAACCACTTCTTCAAATTCGCTCCAGAGAAGATTCCTTACGCCATCAACAGGTAATTCCACAACAGTTCTGAATTCACTTAATCGACGCAACCTTAACATATTCTGAATCACTACAGGTATCAAAATGAGACTCGCCGGCTCTACGAGGTCATCGAACGACGCCTCCAGGACCGCGACTACCTCGCCGGCCCATACTCTATCGCCGACATCACCACGTACCCCTGGGTGAAGATTCACGAGTTTTCGGGTGTGAGCGTGGAAGGGTTGCCGAAATTGCAGGCGTGGCTCGAGCGGATCAAGGTATTGCAGGGAAATCGTTCGGGAAGTCCGTAATGCGGCTTGTAAGTTATGCGCTGACGCGCTATTATCGCTTCAGGTTCGTCCGGCGGTTGAACGTGGGATGGATGTTCGTACCATTGAATAGATGTTCAATTTACATGTGAATGAACTTGCGTTAAGATTTGGTTTGCGTTGCAATATTGGAAGTCGCATTTGGTTTGCGGTGCAATATGGGAAGTCAGATTTGGGGATTTGGGTGTCCATTTACGTTGCACTCCTTTGAAAGTGATCCACCACGCCTCTCTCGGGTTCCGAGCAGAGATAAAATATTTTTCAAACTGTATGGAAAATACTATTATTAACTGACAGAATATGATAGGCCTATATCTTCACTGATATGTGCCGCTTCACCAACGAAAAAAACAAACTCAATTCGAAAAAATCGCCCGCCGTCAACACTCCACTTTCCGTCCCTCGTACCGACGAAACTCCACGCGATCCCTCACATCCGCGTTCTTCCAAACACCCTGCACAAACCCAGGTGTACCCTGCGCACCACTCCCACCCTCGTCGGCTTGGTCATCCACCCTCTCCCCGCCAGCCCACCTCGACCTCCACACCGCGGGCGGGAACGCGTCCCGCTGCGCGAGCGTGTGCGATATGGCGGGAGTCAGGGGTTCGGTTTTGGGGGGTGCGCGTAGCGTGGAAAGTGTGCTTGGTGCCATCGGGTATGTAAATTTCGATGAAGGGATCAGGAGGGTGCGATCTCGGGTTGGGAGGTTGAGGAAGGCGGGGCAGGATGGGTCCGCGGCCAAGTGCGGGAGAGGGAGAGTGAAGAGGGAGGAGGAGGAATGGCAGGAGTGAATCTGTTTTGTCAAAAGGTCAATTGCAAATGTTTGGTGTATGAGAACATAAAGGCGCAAATCTTTCAACGAACGGAAGAAGGGATATTAACCTGAACCGGCAACGCATCCTCGAACCTCTCCGCCGCCACATCATCCCCATCAAACATCTGCTTATGCCACATATCCTCTTTACGAAACATGCGTCCTCCACTCATATCCCTGAACGTGTCTACATCCTTGGGAACCATCGCACCCTTGAATCCGTATACCACCACATCCGGCTTCCACTGGAAATCCATGCCGCACGTGTGGGACGCATCTTGGGTGATATGCTGGTGGAGGAGTTCCAGGATGTCGGAGAGACAGAAGAAGGTTGGGTTTAGGAGGAGGACGTGCGTGTATGGGGTTGGACTGGAGGTTAGGGGTGTGAGTGCCGATGTGAGGTATATCGCGGGGTTAGCGGATGCGTGACGTGAAAGGGGCGGTCGGGCGGTGGCGTTGATGACAATTGGGATGTTGAGGTCCTTGAAGCGGGTCTGGAAATTTTAGCCAAGTCAGTCAGCGGTCATCTTTTCTTCTCTACCGGAAGGGGTGTCCGCATTTGCAGGTGCAATGAATTGCTGCAATTCATTGCAGCCCACATGTGCGGAAGCAGGATCCATTGGAAACAGGCCCTCCAGATTGCATAAACGAATCCATTTTCAAAACCTACATCAACAGCATTCAACATCCCCACAAGTCTTCCGCTCGCTTCTCCCTTTGCCTTTAAACCCCCATAGATGGATATCCCAACCCTGTTAACGCCCATCCAGGCAGCCAACCGTATCATCTGAGATGCGAAATTCGGCACGACGAATTCATCCATCTCGTCGTCACCCCAAAAATTCATCACCACCATCACCCGCTCCTTCCCTCTCTTCAAGTGCTCCCACCGGCTCCTCATCTGCGGCACCAGCAGGCAAGTGGGCAGTGGTAATGGCGCGGCTTCAATCTTTTGGAGCTGGGCCAGCCGTGTAAGGAGGTTGTCTCTGGCATTTTCCATACGCGTGAGCGGGTTGGTGAGGGGTCTTGTGGATTCACTGCCAACCCTGCCACCGCTGCCGCCGTTGGTGAGGGGTGTTTGGATTAAGAGGCCTTTATCTGGATTTGTGGGTGCTGAATTTGTTCCCTGTGGAAGGTCGCTGACCAGGAGGACGAAGCAAAACGCGATACATAGGAAAAGGATGATTCTGATGATAGATTTTTGACGATGCGGGAATGGGACGGCCATTTATCTAGGTATCTAGATAAGTGCGTGGTAAGTTGAGATAGAGAATGATGACAAGAAATTGAGAGAGTAGTAGGGACGATCCAGCAAAA